ACAGCTCGACGAAAAAGTATGAAACCTTCAAGATACATAGATGTCGATACGTAGAGCGAAAGTTGTGATAAACTCGAAATTTCCAAGTGTTTTCTTCACAAAGATATTGAGCTCGCCAAGTCCGAAATTTTTAATACCAACTAGAATCATGTTGGGATGGTGTTTTTTTTGTTCTTTCAAATATATTGACTCCAGAGCTTAGAAGAAGCAAAATACTGAAGGCATTCGTCGAAAAATATGTTTTTTTCAATGGTTTCCTTTCCTTTAAATATTGTCGAATTTCTTAGGAATATCCTTTTGATGATGTGGATCACTTTTCCGGCACATCATTTTGCCGACACCAATTTGAAGCCAAAAAAATTGAAATTTGTTGAAAAAATTGCGTCAGAAAACGTTGGGGTGTCGGTGAGGGTGAAGGCAAAACCCACACTCGCACCCACACCCGCACAGTTACTCACACCCACATACCCACACCGACAACCATACTTGCACCCGAACCGACGTCCACCCACACTCACACCCCACACACAGTGGGGAGCCAGGCGAACATATGCGAAAATATTCTTTTCCACAAACTAACCGTTTGCGTAGATACATACATATGTGATCTATCATTTCGTAAAATAGCGGTTCTCAAAGTTCTATAGAGCTCTAGAAAAGAGTCTGACAAGGCCTGGACCCAGAAATCGGCATAAACGAAGAAAGTCAAGCCTCTCAGCAATATAACACAATATTTCAGAAGCAAACAATATCGCAAAAACTTGCTCACCTATGAACTTTATGGTAAAAAAATATTATCGTAATCCAGTTAAAAATATAGTAAAAGAGAAAGGATCTCGAGCCCCAAAATCTATCTGAAAACATAGCGCTTCGTATATTGTAAACGTTACAAAGGAATAAAGTCTGATCGAGCTCAAAATTTTACCAAATGCTCCTACGAACGTGTTCTACTGATGATAGTAGCGAAAACTCATGAAATCTTTCCTAGGCGATTTTACAGAATATCCAAAAACCCAAGGTTTCTGGTCGGAATTACAGGTTTATGTGCCCGTATTACATTTTGAAGAAAAACCAAGGTGATATTCGGAATCAGCGCATCAAACTACATTGAATGATATGTAGCTCAACATGTTTTTCAAAAAAAATTTTTCGAAGAAAAAAGGCTGAGGCATTCAGCCATATTTTTTCGAAAAAATTTAAAAAAAAACCTTTTATTTTCTTAAAAACGATTTTCTTAGTGGTATAATGTCATTTCTAGTCAAATTAAAGCCATTTATAAGCAAAAAAACCGCATGTCTGCCTGCTTATGGGAATGTTCCCCGCTGTGCCACACCCACACCTATACCAGCACCTACACTCCACACCCATACCCGCACACACACCCTTTATGTTTGTCTTTTGTCCAAGAGGTACTAGATCATACAACTCTTCTCGGTGTATCCTGGAAACTACTATATTTAGTAGGCTAAGATATGAACAAGTTTTGTCGGCAAAATCGTGTCAGCAAAACAATTTATCGGCAAAGTGATTGTTCGTAAAGTGAACGGACCCGATTTTGAAGAAAAAATACGAAAAAACCAAAAACAAAGTAAAATTTTGTTTTGCTTTTTTGAATCACTACAGATTATCATTTATTTCGCATCAAATATCAATATACAGAGCTGTTTTTAAGAAATACTCGTAAAATTAATAAACAACGTTTCCACGTAAAAAAAAACATAGGGTTTATTTTTCAACATTAGGATTCTCGACATTAAGTTTTATCAGGGCTAATAAGATTTGGTACAGTTCTGATTTTCACAGCACTTGATAGAAGACATTTCAATACACCATTAGAAATGAAAAATTCGCAACCGGAAAAAGAGGAAACTCCTTAAGTTATTTTTTGTCTGTGTCCTTTATTAGTTAAACAAAAATTTGAATCATATTTCCTTTTGCAAAATTCGTAGAAATCAAATAAATGTCATGTTATAACATTTTCTTGTTAACAAACAAATCGAAATGCTATTCTGTTCTTTACCTTACATATTCATCTGTCTCTTTCTAGACTTATAACGAATAAAAAATTTGTCATTTTATCGATTGCAATGCTTATATGTACAGTTCCATTCGTAATAACCCACAAAACGACAATAAGAACGATTTTTTAATACTCATTGGGACTAGAAGAAAGAGAAAAAAATATATTGTTGGCCAATTACAGCTCACTGTCGCTCTCTCTTTCGTTTTTTTTTCTATTGAATTTTGATCGACTATCGAATCAATAGTAATTTTTCTATACCACGTATGCCATTATTTTACATCGTTCGCTTACACATAACGTAAACGACAGTAAGTGTTAGAATAGCAATCAGTTCTTTTATTGCCACACATTTTAATTTTTTTTCTGTTTCATTTAATGTTAATAAAATGTTCATATTACATTCACTTGGTAATAGAAAAGGTCAATAAATTAATATACGAGTACTAAAAACGACAAGAAGATTCGCTGGTTCTTATCTTTTTTCTTTTTTTAGCACTTGTGATTTTTTTTCTCCCTGTTATAGATAACCAACTATAATAGTAATTCTTCATTGTAGAAAAAAAAGGTTTGTTCTACGCGTAACTGGCAACAAAAGAAGATAGACATTTGATTAGTGCTTTACAACGACTGACAAACTACAACTTCGTCATATTGAAAAGGTTAAATTTTGATTTGCAACACGATGCGCCGATCGTTTACTATTCATGCAACATTTTGTATAGTTTGCATCAGTATATTATTTCAGAAAACCGATGCCGTTAAAAAACGATCTTATTGTAAGTCACTAACAATTATTTAAGACTAAATACATGCATTTTTAAAATTTCTAAGAATTGATCATTACATTAGTATAGATTTTTATACTAAAATTATTTTCTTTCACTAGCTAGTGGTATTGCTGATCTTGTACGAACAGCATTTAAACGTGGTTTAAGTCGTTTTATAAATCGTGAAACATCTTATGATTCTGATGTATTTCATTATACTCAGGCAGTACAACGTGGTTACGATGGACTTTTTTCAGGTGAATCATGCCGTTTATCACCAATGATATGTTCACATGATGAACAATGTTGTACACGTCGATGTTTGTGTCGTCGATGGTTAATAATGGGTGAAGAACGATGTATTAGAAAATGCTTATAGACAAGAATAATAACAACAAAAATACAATATTCTCTATCACTATGACAGTATATATCAAATATTCTTACATCTTTTTTTCTTTCTTATTTAATATGACTAAAAAATTCGATTTATTAAACATACCTTACTGTACAAAAGATCTTCATTCTTACTTTACATCGCTTTTGACTGCGGATGAATTATTATATTTCAAACAATATTGTTCTTATCAAAAAAATCTTGCTATACATCTAATGAAATATCAACGTTTATTAACATCAGAATATAGTCATCAAGGTATTCGATTTAATTATAGGTTATGCATAGATAACAAAACATTTGAAAATTTTGGATTTTCACCAATACGTTCAAAACCAAATTTATTTATAATGAATGAAAAACGATTTAATCGAATATTAAATTTACTTGATGCTCAACAAAATCATTTACAATCTATCAAAGCTTATCAGACACAAACTCAATTGAAACTTGATCTGCCTCTTATCTCACTTGATAATATCGAATCTCATATAAAAAATATTGATACAAAGATGATAAAATTAAATACATGTTCTACATTAATTGCTAATGGTCATGGAATATCGAAGATAATATCTTCATCAATTAAAAATGATAGAAAACAATTGAATCATCGTAAAATCTATGAAGATATAAGTCTATCAAAATCATGTCAAAATACACCTAATCGATCTTTATTTCGACGATCAAATAATGCAAAATTATTTGTATAAAATATCTATTCACTTATCGGTAGTTTCAATCAAAATGTTTTATATTGTTCATTTTTTATTTTACTATTCTATTTGTATATTAATTTTCATACAGATTATGGTTAGAAAAATTTTTTTTTTGATATTCTTAGTAATGAAAGAAAAAATGCAAATGTAAAATTTAGTTTTATATTAAATCTGAAGTTTTCGATGTTTATTATTTACAGTCAGGTATTATGAGTAACACTTTTACTGTCGTTTTGCTTTCAAAAGAAAAGGAAAATGAAAGTTGAAATATTTCAATGTTTACAGAATTTGTAATTTGAATTGCTAATAAGTAGAACAATCATTTAAATATCGTTAATTTCATTAGTGCTTTATCTGTTCTCTTTCCTCATCTTCTCTTCGTTGCTATTCTTTAATAAATCAATTGTTTAATTGTTCATTTTCATCTTTTTTAGTTCGACTTCATTTAGTATGATTACTTCAAATCTTTCGTTGTTCTGTTTTATTAACAGTGGAAATACTTCAGTGTTCTCTAAGGCCAAATATCAATTAACATTTCAGTCTCTGTTTATCAAAAGAATGAATTAGAAAGATGAATTTTCTCTTGTCCTTGTGCTAAGCGCTCGAAAGAATTCAAGTTAAGATTAAAAGTAAAAATTATTATTGTTTAAGAGTAGAAACACTTTTTATGTCTACAGGCAACATCTACATTCATAATGGAACCTTTTGTATTGTTTATCCATTTGATTGATTATGTTGGCGTCAAATTATCACTCTCACCACTAAATTAACAAATTTTAAATCTTACATGGCCATAGCAAGCCTGGACCGAGATAACCGATTTTTAAGATATTCACAGTTTTGGTATGTGAACATAATATCATGAAAACTATTCACATACAATATTTTACATAATCATCAAATTTTTGAGAGAGTATATTTTTGAAATCTTGTAAATATTGTTGAAGATATAGGCTTAATAAAATCTTATTGAATAATATGTTAAAATAGGTATATCATTAGCTAACATTGTACAATGTTATGTATTCTTCGTCTCACTTCCTAGTTTCGTTTGTGACCCAGTATCTACTTCGATTGTATCTTGTAGAAAAACAATGTCGAGCGAAATCAAAGAAACAGCAAATATTTGTCGAAATAAAATAAAATGTATTTTAAGTGAAGCTGTTCGCGAACGTCGACTTACTCTTTCGCCTGACTTCTGGTCAGATGAAAATAAATAAACATCTTATCTAGGTTGCAGTACACACTTGTCTTCGTATGATTTAGTTCCATTTATGTCTGATATTATATTGGTGTGTGATGGTGGTAGTAATCTTTTTAAAACTTTAGAGAAATTTAACGCCGTCCATTGTATAGCACATCATCTAAACAATTGTTTACAAACTATTTTTTTTCCAAACAAATACATTGAAATTCAAGAAACATGAATTATTTCCTGATTCTTTTCACGATAAACCAGAAGGTGAAGATAATCAAGATAGTAGCAGTGGAAGTAAACCAAATGAGGATGATATTAATGTTGATGAAGATCAACAAAAAGCATGTATCAAATATAATTCTACAGCATCAAATCGAAAAACAAATGTTGTTTTCTTCATTTCATAATTACCAGTTGATGCGGAACGTATTCTATTTAAAATCATTCAATGCAAAGAACTAGTCAAATATGTAAAGAAGGTAATTTTAATAGCAGTTTTTCTTTGCTGCTAAACTAGATCATGCAGAAGAACGAAGCATCTTTGTACATAATATAAATGGTTTTTCCGTAGATGAATTTGAATCAAGATCATGAGGACATCAGGAATTCATTTGTTCTTTTACTATGCACAATTGTTCGATGGCTCTCTTTATTGAATCGTTTAGAGAGTGTGAGTAAATCATTAATTTAACTTAATGAAATTTTTGAGAAAAAGAAATTGAATAAAATAAGAATGAATAAAATTAGTGTATACCTATTGAATAAATAAATTGACTTTCTTAAACCATGAGAATATGTTATACAACGAATCCAATCGTTAATAAGACCATCAACAGGTATAGTTACTCCTAGCATATGTATTATCAGCTCTTCCTTAGAAACAAAATCTAAAGATTCAAAACAAGACAAAGGCTAGTGATTATAACTGTTCTCTCATATTTTTGTGTTGGACTTTTTAGGATTCAGGCTTTGCATATTTCCGTCAAAGGGCGAAACAAATTATAAAAGAAAAGATTCAATATCATCCTATTCACCTGGTGATAAAATTTTTAAATTCGAAAATACAAAAGATGAAACATTTATCGGTTGAAGAACGAGAAGAATGCATAGGATATGTCAAACAAGAAATGTTATTATTTGATGATGATAGTGATTTTAAATTAGCAATGCCTCGAAAGATGCTCAACTGTCAACAGATCGTTCAATTAAATCTATCAGTGATTTTCATTCAAATGCAGATGACGATGAAGATGATAGCGATCAACATGCTGCTTTAAGATCCTAGTCACATGCATTAGAAATTGAATTGTATACTAAACAAGGATCAGATAAATTAACAAATTCAGCTGAATCTCTTTGAGGAAGAATATAATCTTTAATCTTTCTGGAAAAAGATGCATCTTTCTTATCTTATTCTTTTGAGAATAGCTGTTCGTGTTTTTTTCTGTGCCGCGTTCAAATGCAGCCGCTGAAAGAGAATTCAGTCTTCCCGATAATATTATTACACAACAACGTTCAAAATCATCTCCAGATGTCGTCAACGAGATGATTTTTAATCGTTCATACAAGTTGTTTCAATAAAGACTTGATGATCCAGATAAATTCGAATTATACTAATGTAATATTGTCTTGAGTTTTTCAAAGGATTATAAAAAGATTATTTGTGATTTAATGAAAATAAATAGTAAGGATTTGTATATAGAAGAATCTTCCTTTATAAAGTACTTCCACTTTAATTAGCATGTATAACTTCGCTTTCGCTAAACTCGGCTTCATTCGGTTCAGTTTGAAATTTTTAAAAATTCGATCGGTTACGTTCTGTTCAATTACAGATTTTTTATTGGTTCAGTTCTATTGGGCAAAAAAATGCCAACCTATCCCATCTCTATTAGGTATCTCAATTCGAATTACATAAATTATAATTAGGATAAATTTATCTTTTACTGTTGCTGTAATCAGATTCTCATATGACTTTTTTTTCATTTCTTATCGAAATAATATCATATATTCGACGTTTCATCTATACTCGAAACTGAATTAGCTATCCTATGTGTAGGTTCTTAATATTTATTTCAATGAATATGTTTAATGCAGATTTTTAGAAAACTTCAAGCTAATGAATCATTAATTAAATAAGAGCTTACCAGCATACAAAAGTGAAACCATAAAAGTAAAAAATTTTATAAAGTGAATTTGTTAGTTCGAATAATTTGTTGTTAAAATTAAAAAAATCAAAATACGCCAATTTTTTTGTAATTATTATTTTGTCACTCGAAATTTTCTTATTGATGGTCTGGATCGTTTTCATCTTCTTCTTGCTCTGGATTTGATTTTTCTTCTTCATCGTCTTCTTCTCCTTCGACTATGATTACGAAATCGATTACATAGTCGTCTTCTTCATCATCTGGGTGAAGAGCAGTCGAATCATCCTGAATGCGATAGTCACCTTCGATCATATCAGTATCTATTGCTTGAACAATCCATCTGTAATAAGACAAATCTTTATCAGTCATATAAGCATACCCAGGACGAACAAACAAAATCGTAAATGATTGTGTACGGTGAAATACGAGTAAATACATGTACCAGTATTATGATCATAAATCTTCGTGTTGTATACGATTCATACGGCGATATACGGACAAAAATACGGCCATACACAATCGGAAACGAGCGCGCACGGACCGTTTCTCCCCGTATATGGATTCCATAAACCTCGTCCTGGGTAGTTATACAATCAAAACAAAGAAGACAATATGGGCAGAAAACAAGAGAATTTAATAGGAAAAATATCTAACAGAATGAAATGGAAGATATAGATGTAGTGAACAATACGTATGTGCAGAACGAAAAAAAAAGAATATATGTGGAAAATACCTTCAACAGCTTTCTCTTATGACACATCATATATGTACGTATCATAACATTGGGAATTTTCGAGCTCAAGATTTCGCACTCTTCCTGGAGTAATCGTCAGAAATTCTTCATTGCCAATAGGTCTCAAACCATGTTCTAATTGTATTTAACAACAAAGAAAATTTATTTTATTGAGAAATTTTTGCCGACTGAAAAAATTACATCTTGATGGAAACTAATAAAAAAAACTTTTAGTATCTTTTTATAGGTAGTCAAAGTGTGAAAAGCGCAATGTCTTACTGTAATAAAGTAGTGCTGTATTATGAGAGGCATTCAAAAAAATTTTATCAAACTAAGGTCAGATAAACGAAGAAATCAAAAAATTGAAACAATTTTTCTGAATGATATGCACATTTGGAATTTCTTTCTGTAAAGAAATATATACATTTAGGATTTCTATTCTACCAATTTATTGTAGATTCTTTCAATATCATTTCAGCTTAAAAACTTATTTGTGTTGTCAGGCACATATTTAATGCATAATTTATTTTCTACTAATAATATTCACCATGATACATGTCACAAAGAGCAGTAAATATCATTTTAATCTGGGTTTCATTGATTTAAACACCATATTAGCATAAATTGCACATTAGTTTCATGATTGTCTCAGCTTCAGATAAACACCCTTGTTGCGCACAATCAACTTCAACGCATACTCTTCTTTTTTGCTTTACTTTACAAATTCAAATAATTTCTTCTTTTCCAAGTCCATTCTACTGTGGCTCTAGGAGATCAGCGATATCGGCACCCTTTTGATTAACACTTATCCATAGAATTCATGAAAAAATTCTAGAAAGTTCCAGATCGATCTAAACACGGTTATTACTCATGCGCCTTTCACGTCATCATGATCTAGAGACTAACGAAGAAAAACTTCATTTACAATTTGTCTGACAAGTTTCTTGCAAAACATATGTGAATTCTATCATGTTGGTTGAAATGGCACTATTCAATTCTGACTTCACACTTGTAGAGATTGATTTCAATTGAATATAGTCCAGCCTGTTTTTTCGGTTAAGATATTTTATCCATTGAACCTATTTTGATGAATAAATCGATTAAGAAAGATTAATGCCAAAAGAAATGTGTGTTTGAGTTAAAAAATCAAACTTTTATCGGATAGAACTGGTATCATTTCAATCATCTTAAAATCAAATACCATTCTCTATTTTCTTATTGAGGAGATCTTTGTTGAAAACAAAAGTGTGATTCGGACTTGAACGGTTCATGTCAGGACCTAGTAGCAAGCAATAGTTACTGTTTATTTAGTATTTCATTTGACTTCATTTTGTTGAGACAAACTGTCAAATACAATTTCAATATTTTTGTTTATATCAACCACCGCTACATGGTCAATTTGTATTCTTGTTCTCATTCACTTGCTGTATGATATTATCATTTTACAGATATAAAAATAATGTGCACATTACACATGAACACTTAGATACTTTTATCATCACATGAATGAACCACTGATATATTTAGAAGAGTTTGATGGTGAAACTTATCGTCCAAAAAAAAACAAAAATACTTTTGAACAGATTAATCAAATTTTTGAGCATTGATGCTGCTTGGCTTCTGATGGATATCTCTACTAATTAGTTGTTCAAAAGAACAAAAATTCAGTTCTCTGCTAATAATTCTTCTTAATATGTATTTGAATGAATATATTTAGCGGATATGTTTAAAAAACTTCAAGCTAACTATCTATTGAATAAGCTTGTATTAACAAATAAAATTAAAACCATAAAAGAAAGAAATTTCTCAGCTAAATTTGTTGGCTTAAATAGTTTATTGTTAGAATGAAAAAAACAAAGAAATCGATCAGTTCTTTATATTGAATACTGTTTTGTCACTAAGAGCCTGCTATTCGTTGCCTTGATTGTTTTGATCTTCTTGTTTTTCTTCTCCTTGTTGTTCTTCTTCTTCTGTTTCTTCTATTACTTCAATTTCTTCCTCTATTATTTCATAATCATCGTCATTGTCTTCTTCTTCATCCACGGTATCTGGATGAAGATCAATTGAATCATCTTGATCCCAGTCTTCATGACCCAAATCATCGTCGTCCGTTAAACGAAAAGCGAGTGCCTCATCACAATATTTTGAATCAGTCATATAATCATATGGAATAAAAGCGTATCCTTTGTCACCCTAAGATGAAATGAAACGTGAAGATTTCTTTTAAAGAGATTATGGTTTACCCAGTCTTCCGCCCAGGAATTTCGCACGATAAATGCTTTTGAGCGGTCACTGTAACCCACAGCCAGCATTGCATGTCTGAAATGATAAATTTCAACTTTAATTTTTTCTATTCACTAAAAATCAAACCCTCCAGGTGTCTCTTCTTTCACTTCTTTTGGTGTTGGCATTGATATGACACCTTTACCATGGTGGCTATGAAATGATTTGAATACTTCTAAGCCAAATACAAATGGCAAACCTTGTGCAAGGCATTGTTTCATCTCAGTTAAATCTATTTTAAGTTTTAATGTATCATATATTTTTCTGCTTTTGGCTGCTTCGTATGCTTTGGTATCAGGCCGTTTATTTACGATTCCTTTTTCATATTTCCAAAATGTTTCGTCACAAACACCATATTGTTTTAATGCTTCAAGACCACTTACGATGCTACAACCATCATCTATGTTCGTTAATTTTTCTTTTTCCTTTTCTTCTTCTATAAGCCGAGCATTGTAATAGATGAATAACCGACTTACATCAATACTACGGCCGTCATTTTGTTTTTTTAATAAATATTCGTAAGCTCCTATACAAGCAAAATATTGATGGATTCTTTTAAAACAATTCATATTTACCTGCAAAAGCATTCCCTACACTAAATTAATGCAAAATGTCATAGGTATCTTGATTCGAAGTAAAGTTTTTTTTACATACCAACAATTCATTGGATTTTGATCTTCAACAGTTGTCATTAGTGGACGAAGATCGACTTTAGGTGGAAGTTCTTCAGCACTTACCTTGATGTGATTACTAAAGTCCTTTCGTAAAGTTTCATCTTCAGCCTCGCGTTTTGATGCTTTACAACCACTGATGCAATACTTTCGATCAGTTTTTTTGTCATGTATGAAACGTTTCTGAGGCATAAATAAGTTTTTTATCGCAAAACAAAAAAACCAAAGAGAACAGCTACTTTGTAACCGATAAAATTTGCGATACAATTATAATACGCATTTTTCTCGTCAGTTATATAGGCACATTGATCGTTATTCACATCGATTTACTACCCCAGTTAGATAGCGGCATATTTTACCTTAAAAAGCTATGATTCTTATTGTTTATTTTCTTGGTATACGAATTTCTCCCTTTAATTATGTTTAGACTCGTTTTGTCTTTGAAAAAAAAAACACAAACTTTATGCTTTTGCTAAATGTAAAAAGAGCACATGGTAATGCATAAATAATACGTTAGTTTCATCGATTTTATCTAAACGATTGGTGAATGAATATATACATTCTTGACACACACTTTGTTTTTCTACTTTGTACGAATCTATTCATGCATAAGACGAATACTATCGACCCTTGACTATGTAAAAAAATGAAGGAACTTATTATGCCGTGAAATGACCTTCTTCTATCTAAACATGACTTTATCGTTTTTCCAATAGTTAGTTTGTGTATTACAAATCATTGCTCATTCGAGTAAGACTATTGGATTTTATTGAAGTTGTACACGGATGACTCAAAATCTGATAGTATTCATCTTGTATAGAGTTATACATTGTATTTTATATATATATATATTATTTGCTTTTGTTCGTCCAGCTACTATACCACGAATAATACGTCAAATAAAAGCCCTTTCTTTTCTCTATCTCATCGAATAGAGGCATATGCAAAAATATTGTTCTTTTCTTTTTTTTCATGCGAGTTTATTAGCTTGTATGTATAATATGAGAACACCATGACAAAATATTCTCAACGGTGAGTTGTGGAACGAAGCGATCGACTTTGAACTGACTATGATTCGATACATTTTTCAAAATTCTGAAAAATAATACCATCGTAGTTAGTTTATATAGTGAAACAAGACACTTTAATCTAATACATAATGCTCATCACTGCCAAAAGTTGTTCTCGATTACCATTATTTAGTCGTTCTTCGTCCGAATAATCAGGATTTCTATTAGAACACTTGACACTATTGGTGTCAGAATAAAATAGTGAGACAATCTCTTGTTCGAATAAAAGCATTTGATTTGAAAGAGGAATAATTTTTTCAAGTCTACAATAGATGATAAAAGTGAAAGGCTATTTTTTACGAATGCATACAGAAAACAACACAACTTGAAATTAAATATATTTTTTTCACAGATCTAATGCTAACAAGAGGGACAAAGACTTTTATGTCATTGAACCATCCACAGGTTACCCGAGATGTTGTTCCTATTGAAATCATCAACAAATTTTTAATTTTTTCTAGAATGCCAATTCGTATGTCTACATAAGACACCAATCTGCAGTTACGTTATTTGTCTTGTCTTCTGAGCTACTTTAGCACATTTCTTACATGTTGATGAAATGTGATGTTGAATATGACAGGACGATCATGCATTAGATTCAATGTTTCTATATAACATAGTATTTCTATAAATTCCATATAAATAAATATTTTATCTATTCACTTTTACTAAACTTCAGCCTTTATAGAAAAAAAAAGAAGAATTTTAGTGTTTTAGTTTTATTTTGGGCATTTTTTTATATTCATTAAAATAAATCCTTGTTTTCTAACGAAAGAAACTATTTCAAAGGTAATCAAAACCTTGATGCAAGTAAAGTATTGATGAAATCGTTAGCATATTCATCAGAGATTTATCATGATTTCTACAGAAATTATGCTAATCTATTTCAGATTACACCTGAAACTGATCAGCTTTAAATACTAATTCAATACTTGTGATCCATTAACTATACTGAATGATCATTTATTTCCATCATCTAAGAACATTTTTTGAACAAAGGAAAAATGTATCATAAGACATTTGTTGGAGTTTATGAGCAAGATAATTTTTTTGTTTCACAATGAATTGTTTCCTTATTTGATTGATCGCAGAATAACTTCTACTATTGTATATTATTGATCATAATGTCTTGTAAGAGAGTGTTCTAATAACATCCATTGTTTATTTTTATTTTTTCTTTATGTTTGTTGTATGTATATGTGTATGTGTCTTCGTCCTCTATTATGTGTTATTCACGCTTGTACAGATATTTCGATCTGTTTTTTTCTTTCCTATTCTCTTGCTTTCTCTCTCTTAGTTTTTGTCCTTTTCGACCTTGACAATTTTAATACATTCTCAACATTTTCTCCTATTCTCAAATTGAAATGCATTTGGAAAGAAGATGCCTGAACTGATTTTGTTTATTATTATATAGTCTAATATAGAGAGGAGAACAATATCTGCTATACTTCTCTCTTTATTTTCTACTTTTGTGTGTTTTTCTCTTACTCTTGTGTTTTTTTCTCTGTTTACCTTATGTGTGTGTTAGAAATGGATAAATAGCTGAGAAACTTAAATAATAAACAAGTTGAAGAAAGGTTGAAGTTGTTGCATGGTCAATCAGTAGGAAATTATTTATATAACATTAATCTTCGTTACAGTCTAAAGGCTCTGTAACATATAGACATCGGCATGACTGCCGTGACCAAAAACTATTGATCGTGCCGATGTCTAGTAACATATCTGATGTAAAATATTTCAAAATATTTAGCTGATAACTAATGGATGACAATGTCGCTTCGTTTATGACTTTCAAATAATTCTCTTCGCATTATCTAAATATTTTCTAAGATCTATGCAACGTTTCATGATGTTATCGAAAGATGAAATCAACTGTATATCTTATAGATTGTGCATATCAAAAAAAATGATTTCAATATAATAATCAGATTACCATATTTCATGAGAATCGAATATAATACAAAATGTAAGATCATTTTTAAGAACACTATGAGAAATGTGCATTATCCTTACTAAAAACAGAAGAAAATTTTTCTCTTACATTTGTGGGCGCTACAATGCTTCATTTTTGAAGATGAATGTGCACATAACAAAAGAAAGAGGAAAATACTATGAAACAATATATAATTAAGTCAAGCTGTAAATTTTAAGCGACTGAAATATTGATGCCTCATCACAGTGAAATTCACCCAAGCATAGGTTCCTGTTTAACTTATAAATTGAACACATAAATATCAAAATGAGGTAATAAAGCGAAAGAGTACTTTTCAAAAAGAACGAGTCTAGTAGTGAAGACGTCGATTCACTTAAGTCTCAACATTTGATATACATTCTTTTGTCAAGCAATGTCCTATCACCAACTGAGCTTAAGAGTTGATATAATAAAATAGCAATGAGTTGTAGTTACTATTAGAGCATGGATGATGAATGTCTCTTTACCTAAGCGTACTTTAATCGTTTTTATGTGCTTAACCTTTAGCTCTAGGTCTTTTGTTGGTTCGCTTTTCCTCTGAACTTGTCATCTAATTTAGTCCGAATGAAAAACATTCTTCGTCATTTAGGAAAGTTTTCTGCAATTCGAAAAAAACGATGGAATAACAACAAATGGATGGTGTGTGCAGGATCGAAATTCGATCGAATAAAATAAGGTTTATTTCATGAATTGTGTATCTGAGAAAAATAAGTATTAGTTAATGAAAACGTAAAAGATAGCTAATTGCTATGGTTGATTCATCAGTGTGCGATCATTTAATGACTTCATTGAGTCTTGATAAACAATCGATTATTGAGAACTTGATTATTCATACATATCTTACATTTTGTTTTTCATCTTCTTTATATTCAATTATCAAAATCATGTAAAGGATATGAAAGAATAGTTGAAATAAAATATAAATTATTATCACCTGGTGAGTCATCCTATCGACTTTAAATTCAAATGGCTGCTGCTAAAATAATATATTTTGAATGGAATTGTATTTTTATAAGAGTCTATCATGAAATTCTTTCTTCAAGGTTTTTGTTTTGCGTTACTTAGGGAATAGAAATTATATTTTTATTTCATTGCTTTATAAATAGAAACAAGATCATCATCTTCACGCTTTTATCAAATTTATCAATAAAAACAAAAACATCATCAGCTATAACCATAAGAATATTTAGAGTTTCTCTGAATATAAGTTTAATTCTTCATGTAAAAGTTGTGAATTACGGAAAAGTACATTGCTTTTTTGACTAGATGAATCATTTAAATAAATAAGGCTTGGCACCATTTAGTCTTATATAACAAATAATAGTATAAGGTCAAAAGTGACATAGACATTGAAGACTTAGTCTAAAAAGATGAAATATATAAATACGATTATCCATATATTTTTGCTTCATTTTCATGAACTTACAAATGGTATCATTTATTGACTCTTTCGTTAGGTCAGGAAAATTCAAGATGCTAAGAAAAAGAGGACTTGTAAACAAAGTAGAAAAAAAAGGCAGAGTAGGTAGGCAGGATTGAATGTACAAGAGAAGTTAATATTGAATTATTGTTTTTGTTTCGTTACTAAGTTTCTCAAGTATACTCAAGCACTTACTGTCATTTAAAGCCTAGTTTTATATTTGGAAAAAGTAACATTATATACATTTGTGTGTAGAAGCCTCATTGATATTTCAAATGTAAAATTAATAGAATGTAGCTGGCTAATATTTTCATATTACTAAAAAAATACAAATATGATCAACAAATATAGATTTTACAAATTAAAACTCGGTTTTCTTCATAAGTTGTTACTTACATATATTAACAATCGAAAATTACATAAGTTACTGATGGTTTCCACAATGTTATCTTGATGACTTTACTTTTCATTGATTATCAGATGAAAAGAAATGAATGAATGAATGAATGAATGAATAGTGAGGTTGGATGTGTGGATAAAGATGAAGTAACACTAGGTTAGAGTCATAAGTAGTAGAACATTTTGATTCTAGGGTAGACTCAATATTTTTTTAATAAGGTTTGCTTCTGGAAGTTGAAGAGGAGGGAAGATGAGGTTTTTATACCGTTTAATTGAGATACAATTAGGATTTAGTTTTTCGGACTAACGATTCATAACGTATAAGAGTAGT